AATGAGTGACATATTACTTTTTATTTTAAAGTGACGTTGCGCATATGACAGGTGCAGAAAAATAATAATTTTGCCGTTCTGACACGATGTCCTATGCCCGGGTACGAAATCTAGCAGTCTCGTGTCACCCGAAACGCGAAAGTCATTCTCGACGACGAGATGCATCACCTCTAAGGTTAGCGCAAAAAGATCGCAAGTCCCGAAAATTAATTATTTCCTTTAAACGCGATATCCTATGCCCTATTCTATTTCGTTTAAACGCGATATCCTATGCCCCGGCACGAAATGTATTGCCGCACGCCATCTATTGCCGCTCGAGGGGGTTACGAGCAACCACCCGCAATAGATACTGTCGCGTCGTCGGTATTGCAACAAGGTGCACTTACCTTGCGACGGCGGATCCCACGATGACCGATCGATAAGGCCCGATCGAGTCGTTAGTCAGAAGTCGCAACTATGTATATGTTGATCCTTTTCCTCTCTGGGTGGAAGAAAAAGGACCGACATATAGTTCCGACTTCTGACTAACGACTAACAACTCATTGTAGACCGGGCGTAACGGTTATGGCGTCGCCGGCGTCATGTGACTCCGTCATGTGGTCCCTCGTTGGATCGGTTGTTGAGTTGCTCCCGCGAAGTAATCCCAATTGGTCACAACTCACTTAACACTTCACAATAGAATATGCACTATCACATATATATCGCATTGTATACGATATCACACACAGTATCACCAATTTTACTCTGTAAGCCGCATCGGCGACTTAACACTCGCGACGGATGAAATTCACTCTCGAGACACACGCTCGCGACACTCGACACTCCCGTTCGCGGTGCACTCTCGACTTTTTCGGCGGTTTGAGGCACGCGAGACGCGACAACCGAACTTCCGAGTAGCCGCGGAATGGCCGATTCGCGACTACGGCCCACTCACGACGACCGAGATTTCCCGGCACGCTTCTCCCGGCGGCTGCTTGAACGCCACAAACGAGCTTGCGAACGCGCCACTTACTCACGACACCCCGGACACGGGGCTCGCCCTCTCGGCGAGCCGAAATCGACGGAAACACGGAGCGGATTCTCGCGGCCGACCGACGTTTTCTCCGCGTCCAACAACTGAACGTCAACTAGATTCGCAACGGTCGCAATTTTCAAACGTCGGAGCAGCGGCCAATCAGGCTGCGAGCTTTCAAGCATCGATCTTGCAATGGCAAGATCGTGCAGCGAGCCTTTCTCGTGTAACCATAGGTCTGTTCGTATTGCAGAAATACGCGTAATATATGGGGTGTGTTCGGTTTCACGCATGATGCGCATGATGTTAAGTACAAGAACATCGCACATAAATAATACATATTAACATCGACAGCGTACAGTAAATGCAACTGAGTTAATAGTTAATCGAAATGCAAATGTCTGGAAAGAATTAAAAATTCAATGTCTAAAATCAATGTATTTTCAATACATTTTCTTTGTAAATTCCGTAAAAAGTATATAATCTAGTGGAATTAATATATCACCGATAAATGCGAATTAAAACACTCGATTCAATATTTTGCGTATTATTTTCGCGATGGATTAATTTTAATAACCGATGAAAAAAAGGTAAGCATAAGAAAATCGACCAATCACAGTCGAGAACGTAAAGCAATATAACGCAAGCAGTAGCAAATCCAATCTGTTGATTTTCTTACGCTTACGTTTTACGTCCTTACGGAATTTTATGTGTAAAGACCTTTGAGCTGGGGGCACACACTTTTGCATAAGTGCATAAGCATATACATAACGAATTTGTTTGGTCCATTTCCTTGTGCATTTGCTTATAGACCAATCAAATTCATTATGCATATGCTTATGCACTTATGCAAAAGTGTGTGCTCCCCGCTTTACCCATTTAAAAAATAGGCGTAGCACGGACACGCACCAAGTGGAGACTTTATTGGCAGTAGTTGAAAATGGGTGTAGCGGAATAGTTCCAAAAATAAAAATGCGCGTGGATAAAGCCCTGGAATCAGTCGAGCGAAAACGGTAAAGGCCTTCACACATAAAATTCCGTAAGGACGTAAAACGTAAGCATATGAAAATCGACCAATCACAGTCGAGAACGTAAGGCAATAACGCAAGCAGTAGCAAATTCAATCTGTTGATTTTCTTAGGGCCATCGCACACAAAATTGCATAGCTGCATATGCATAGCATGAAAACCGTTTGAACCAATGAACATCGAACATTGAGTCGCCATATTGATTTACATAAAGGCACAATTTCACGCAGCGATTAAAAGCGAGGATCGCTGTAGTTAGTTAGACAAGAATAGCACGATCGCCACTCAACTATCTCTCTCTGACCGCTGACGTAACGCGTATCGCGTAACGAATCATATCGTTCATTCTTTTGGAATGTTCCAACGGAAATGTCAATCGTCGCAATTCATTGGCCGCGTTCAGCAGACACAACTGTTGAGTGAGCGCTCAGTATGATTGGTTAATACTTTTAGATCCAGCCAATCATATTAAGGATCTAAAAGTGTTAACCAATCATACTGAGCGCTCACTCAACAGTTGTGTCTGCTGAACGCGGCCATTGGTTACGCGATACGCGTTACGCGGAAAATATCAATCCATGTGGCCGCACCCTTAGGCTCAGGGTGCTTTCACATGGAGCGTAAGTTGCGTAGCGTAACCTGCGTATCGCCAATCACAGGGTCATTCTGATAGAACCGTTTCAATAATTCCGTTGAAATAGTTGTGTGATTGGTGATACGCAGGTTACGCTTACGCAAGTTACGCTCCATGTGAATCCAGCCTCAGGGTGCTTTCACATGGAGCGATAGGGTGCTTTCACATGGAGCGTAACTTGCGTAGCGTAACCTGCGTATCGCCAATCACAGGACTAGTTCAACGGAATTATTGAAACGGTTCTATCAGCATGATCCTGTGATTGGTGATACGCAGGTTACGCTACGCAATTTACGCTCCATGTGAAAGCACCCGCAGGCTTCTCTCTGATTGGATCCAGTGAGAATCCTGCATAAGGTCTGAACCAATGCAGCCAGTTCAGCTATAAAGAACAGATCTAACGTTAAAGTTCAAAATGGAGGGTGATTACGCGTCTGTATTTTTATATAAATCTATGGCGATATCCGCCGAGTCCGCGGAACATGTGGCCGCGAGCGTATGGCGAGTGATTCAACGTTCGCACGTGTGATATTAATACGCGTACAGAGTAGAAACGTGCGTACAACATTTGCCGGAAGGCATTAAAACAAAAATTACACTACGTAAAGTGAAAGCTGTACTCATCAAAGTAAGTAGCCCAGTTGTTTTAACTCAAGCTATTCTTCTTCCTTCCTGCCGCACCACTTGCCATTTCGCGGTGACATTGTACTTTTGAGATGTTTCGAGATCTCTCAACATGTTAGTCGAATACGAGGCGGCGTTTTGCGAAATAGATTTGTTATTAAGAATCCTCAGAATTCTGACAGCTCTATCTGCTCAACAGATGTCTGTGGTATCCTCGAGAGTCAGCAGCGTGTCGTCTATACTGAAAACCAGCGGCGTTAGAACGAAGTTCGTCAAGCAACCCGGCAAAGTATATTTTAAGCTACCAAGAGATATTAAAAATATATTATGTAATTTTGCAAATAGCGATGGGATTAAGGAGTACGAGAAGCTGATACATTCGCTTAAAGAATGCGCTGTAAAGGTAATTAATTGTTGTCGCTTATACTTGGCGCGAGACACTACCGTGTCTCGTGATAATAGGCGAGAGTACAAAGAAAATTTGTGGGGGGAATCTTTTAATACATGATGTATGTGTGTACGTGTGTCATACAGTTTACATAGTAACGATTGCGTATTATAATGCAAACACTTTGAAATTCTCATCTTGTTTCTTCAGGATAGCGATTTAACAGAATTTTTAACCGAGACAAGACAGTGTATATCCTTGATGGATGTTAGATACGAATCGTTTGTTCAAGTACTTCTTCAAATCGAATGGACGAATAGGTCACCAGAAGTGATTTCAGCTTATAAATTCTTCTTGCAAGATTTGGTCTGCATGCAGACGCTGCATATAAATATTGTAATAAATCGTCTGGTTGAGTTGTTCAAACCAGGTAAATTTGGCAATTTAGTAGCCCATAACATTTCTTCAGGAATAATGTGACATTTATTACTATACTTATTTTTGTAGAGGAGGATAGTAATGCCGAACATGAAGTTGGACAGTTTAAAAGCGAAGATATCGACAGGCTGAATCACATACACGACATACTGCATAAAATTTTGGAATATGTGCCAATGTAAGATGTGGGAAAGTGACTGTACAAATTAGCAATTTCTCCCATTGTTATACACGTATAATGTATTTGAACACGTTATAAATTTTTAGGTCTGACAAAGTCTTGCTACAGTCCCTTGTATCGCGATTTCCATATATTATACATGGCACTTATACACATGAAATTTATATCCATGCGTTATTACAAATTCTAAATTATGCGCCTCAACTGAGATCTAATATTTTGGTCTTCATTATTAATAGGTAAGTGCTCCAATCAAAAACTCGGTAAATCCAACTTCCAGTTCTACTGTAATTACTTGTTAACGAAATATGGATATCCGAGATGAATTGTCATTTATCTCACTCTTTTATTTACTGCTTTTAATTTTCTAATCAATCTCTTATAAAATCAAGGTCACTGCATAAAGTGAGAATTGGAAATGTACTCGGAACTTGCCAAGTGCTCTAATAATTCTCTTACTTTTGGTAAGAAAGATTAATAGTATAGTTGTGTTTTAGGCTAATGATGTTGGATGTTAATATACCTCGTGAAGAAGCAAGTAACGACGAGAAAGATGTAGTTGATGATTGCATCGGCTCAAATGGGACAGCTGATAACGACAATCCGACCGAGATAAACAATGATGCAAATAAAAGAGAAACTATCCATCCAACTGCGCGTACACTCGACTCGTGTATGGAATTATTCCTTAAATATATGCACGAGTTTTGTTTCGCGAACGATGTTCTGCAGATAGAGAACTTGAGGACACTGTATTTCGATGTTCTCTGCGCATTTGAGGCAGTAATATTACCTACGCACGCCAGTCAATACGTGCAATTCATCATCTTCTACATTTGCAGTTTTAGATCCGTAATCACGGAAACGTTCACGAAATGGTTGTGGCATAAAGTAACCGATCCTAATGTAGCACCGGTTCTTCGACAAACAGCTATTTGTTATATTTCTAGCTTACATGCTACTGCCTCATTTATGTCTCCCGGGTAATTAGTGTAGCATATTAACTTTGATAACTTTATTACATGTACCATAGAAAAGAGTACCTAACGTTATAATTTATTTTCTTCTAGGCAAGTGAAAATAGCCATGTTCGACTTGACGCTGTGGATACACAAATATATCACTTCGCAGGAAGATGTGGAATACATTAACGACGACGTAAAACCACACGTTGTGTTTTATTCCGTTTGTCAAGCGTTCTTCCACTTATTCGTCGCGAGGTACAAGCACTTTGTCGAGTCGAAGAACGGTGAGTGCATATTTATCGTGTGCGCAAGAGTTGCGGATTTGACGATAGCGACAGTTTTAAAAAGTCTTTTTTTTCCAGGGATATTATTTCTTCAGAATCTTGATATATCGAAAATCGTTACTTGTAAGTTAAATCCCTTGAAGATGTGCGACACCAAGATCGTTCGCGATTTCGCCGATATTACGAGCACGTATCAACTAGCTTACTGCTTCGCTGTGATTGAGGACAACGAGCGCAACCAATTACCCATTTTTGGGGTAAAAACCCACCTGCCCGTGTTGGTTTCTAACTTTTTCCCATTTGAGTCTTACACATTAGAGCATAGCGGACACCGGATAACTCCGTTTTTACGCAATAATGTAGCAAATGTTAACAGTCGATCGGTTAGAGAATGCAAATAAGCGTATAATATATCAAATTAATAAAATTCATAATGCTCTATTATAGTCAAGGGCGTCCGGAGGGGGGGGGGCAAGATGGGGCATCTGCCCCCCCCCCCCTAGAATTTGGAATCGGCAAAAAATTTTGCCTATTTGGCATACCTTGTCGCGGTGAGAAAGCTATTACCAAAAGGTGTACATATATGTATATACACCTTTATATATGTGTATATATTTGAAATCATGTAAATAATTCTGGAAGTAATATTTTAACAATATAAATGATGCCCCCCCCCTGGAAAAAATTCTGCGGACGCCCTTGATTATAGTAAACATAAATTCGAAGGAATAAGGACTAAAGAGCCGTGACAGGATGTGTTAAAGATTACTTGTTTTAAAGTTAGTTTCTTTAGGCTCTTTAGTCCTCATTTCTTCGAATAAGAGATATTTAAGTATTCTTGCGTATAAGAGATATTTAAGTAAATTATGGTGCTGCATCTCAAATCAGCCACATGCAGAAGTTTCTTTTACTCTTTCGACAGTTTGTAATAACCCGGAAAATGAACGAAGTACGCAATGATTTAATTTACATTCTGACAAAAGGTTATGTACTGTTTCAAATATAATATTCTTTATATGCTTAAACAAGTTTATGTGTGTATATATATTTTTTACTAATCTTGTTAATACTACTATATTAATTTTAAAAAATTACTAGATGGGCGAAAAAGTTTATATGCGTTAGAATACTTACTTGAAAAACGTCAATCCAGATAAGTCAACAAAGAATGCAATGCAAATGCAATGAAATTCTTTATATTTTAAAGTAATCGAAAAGTAAATTGATCTTTTCGTGTGGAAAAAGCGTCTGTGGATGGATTTTGATCAAACTCTTATATAAAATTAATCGGTGAAACTTGTCAAATTATACTGGTCTTATTTTATTTGTAGAATAAATTTTTTTAATTAGCACAGGAAACCGATTAAACAACGAATTATACATATATTGAGTTGGCCAATAATTCCCTGCGGTTCCTATTGATGGATACCTTTAAGCGCACTGAAAAGCAACTACCTTTACCCAGTCCAAATTTGGAAATGCATAGTAACTTCACAAGTGACATTTCAATGTTCGTTAAAAAATGAAGCGTAAGATGGTTGAGTTTTCTGTGTTTGGAAATCTCCATTTCATGCGTGTCCATGTTATTCTCCAAAACTGCGCCGTAAATTTCAAAATTCAACATAATTTTAATAAATTTCAATTTCAAAACCAACATAAATTGTCTACATGATGTTTACGTCAACTTTTTTCATGTGTGGAATATAAATGTTATAAATTAAATGTTAGAATAGCACACACGCACCAAGTGAAGATTTTATCGACGGTGTCAGGAAATGCGTAGCAAAATAGTTCCAGAGATAAAAATGGGCGTAAGGGCGCGCAAAACAGTCTCCTGAAACGGTATCGAGTAAAACGCCGGAGTGGCCGCTCTCAGGTTTCTCTCTGACAATACCAAGTCAGAAAGTATACGCGTGTGCGTATGTCCTGTTACCACGCCGCTCCGTGCATGGCGACAAAATACGTCGTGCGTAAAGGTATAGTATCGAATCACGCGCGATCGGCAAATGCCCCGATCTCGGGCTTTCCTGCGATTTTAAGCCCGATGATCGAACTGCCAGCATTCTTGGTACTTGATCGGGGCAAAGAACTTACTGACTCTTCGTGAAATTTGTTTAGATTGCGCGCTCGAGCTTCTAGGATTTAATTGCGCAGTCGGTGATATTTTGTCAGTGGCTCGGTATCGCCACTCGATCATTATGCTTACTAATCTGTTCTCATTACCTTATCGTGAAAGCGGGGCATAACAGTCCGCATTAGGCAACTCGAGTCTGCAGGCTCGTTATCTTGGAAAAGATTGCGCGGATTAATCCTCGCAGCGGGATCGCGCTGGGATTCCGCGGCGCGGCGGCGCCAATTCAAAATTGGCGGTCGAGTGGCGTCCCGGAAGTCGAGCGTGTAACGGCTGCGCGCTGGGCGCGCGGCCTCCCCACTCCGTGCAACGTACCGTTCGTCGTCGGCGGCGGTGATCGCAGCTCGCAGCGCGATTCGCCCGTACGAGTGGATGCGTAAAATGGCGAAGTGCGGTTGTTATTTACTCGCGCCGAACGCAGCGAAGTGAGAGCAAAGTAGAAAGCCCGCGAGGGTCTGTGTCTAATCGCGTCGCTCGTACACCGAGCTTGTTTTAACAGCGCGTCGGCGAGACAGCGTGTGCGAACGATCGTGAGTATCGCTGTTTGTTACGCTCGTTATCGAGGCGGATCGGTTATCCCGTGGAAGCGAGTAGAGCAGAGAACGCGCGAGAGCGAGCGAGCGAGCGAGAGGAGAGCGAGAGGAGAGCGAGAGAGAGAGAGAGAGAGCGCGAGAGCGAGCGAAAGGATTGCTCGCCGTCGTCGTTGCCGTCGACCCGTCGCCGTGTCGCGCTTCTCGTCCACGGGTGTGGACCACGTGTTCCTCGGCGAGCGAATTGTCAGTCGCGCCACGCCGTGAGATAACGTGTCGATACTGGCCTTCACGGCCCCTCCCCGGTCCCGCGGACTAATCCCTTAATCCGCGCGACGAGGTTAGGAGAGTCTACCAACGGACGGCGGCACCGCGACGCCGATTTCCCGTCCCGGCTCGCCGCGAGCGCACCCACCTGCCGTTCCCCAGCGACCGGCCGGTTCGCCCGGCGAAGTCCCGTGGCCCCCGGTCGATCCCCGCCGCGTTGGGGCGGCGAGGAGCCGCGGCTCCCTTTGTCCCCACCTCCCCCCCTCCCCCCGCAGTGGCTTTTAGGTTATGGCCGTTGCGGGCTTTAATCTGCTCTCGTACGTTTGTCGCGACGCACCCGTTGCCGCACGGTCGAACGCGCGTCCCGCGAGAATCCCGCGCTCGCTCTCCAAGTCGGCGGTCGCCCGTGGCGTCTGGAAACGCGAAGCTTCCTCCGACAAGCGTCCGCGGAGTGCAATCACCTTGTCCTCTAATTATGCGTAACGTCCCTGGGATTGCCTTTGATTAACAGTAACGCGTCTCCTCTCCGCCTCTTCTCGCGTCCCGCGCTACAAGATATTTAAACGTAAACAATCCGCCACTTATCTCCTTTGTTACAGCTGTCCCGTCATTTAAAGTCGTGTCATTCACTCATGTCAAAAGTCGATGTTAATTCACTGCGTATGCTTCACTCCGTTTAACATCTCATTCATATTGCTCGCAATCAAGTTACACTTACATTCCTGAATTTGTTATTCAAATGGACTCGTTAAGCTCATTAAGTTTGGCGCTTCTCTTCCTTCAACTAAGTCGTGTGATCAGTGCGAATTCGGTGATCGGCTAACCGACGATTACATACGGTACACAGTATACACGCAGGCATTATCTTGTTTAATTAGAAACTTGGAGGGCAAAGGATCTTATGTCGATTGCTCTTGTTTCGCTT